AAAAACAGAGTACACACACAAGTTAAATTCACCCATGAAATAATGATTTTCTCCCCGGTTTCTCTTATACAATGCTTGGGAGCCATAGAGGGAGCAGTATTTTCTTTCATTATCTACTACCTGAAAACTCATAGCCTTCCATTTTCCTGAGTGGGATTCTGTAAGTTAACCCCTGATGTTTGATGTTCTCAGACTAACCTGGAATGAAATCTATGTAGACATGTAAATCACTACGGAGCATATGCCTTGAGTTGAGAGCAAGCTAATGAGCGTGAAGGCAGCTGCTGCACCCATCCGGCTTCCGGGACGGGTGCTCAGTCAGGATCATGCCAAGTGCTCCTGGGAAGAGGGGGGGCAGTCTTCCCTACTTGCTCTATTTCCAGCTGCTTTTCGTAGTTGAACAGTACTACAGCCAAATTATAAGGAAAGCAGATGAGGGAGATGAGGAGCTAGAGGAAGATTCGAACTGAAAGTAGATGGAGAGTCAGTGAGGTGGAGAAATTCCAGAACATGCTTCTCAATGTTAAGCTTTATGGAAGAGGAGGCTTTATAAGTAGTATCAAGGAGGCTGGGATGGACAGCTGAGAGTTCTCACTGGGGAGAAAGGAACTAAAATTCTAGAGCACCTATGATGTGCCAGATGTGTTGCATTAATTGTCGTTTAACTCAATACCTGTAGATGTATAGGGTTGTCGGAAAAGTTATGGCGCATTTTTGCAATGAAAAACATGGAAAAAATACGTCATGACTTTTCTGACAACCCAATAGGTGGTATCTTAATTTTGTAGATTAGGAAATTAATAAAGCCAAAATTACTAACTTCTCCAAAGTCAGCCAGTAGTGAAAGAGTCAGGATTTTAACCAAGGTCCCTTTCTCTGCAGCCTGCGTTGTTGTGAGATGCCAGACTGCCTCCATTTCCACAACATGAGGTTGACTTAGCTTTTTAAATAAATTAGTGAGTGAATGAGTAAACACACAGAATAATAAATAACAAACATTTGGTGTAGTCAACACATGTTTATATATTCTCAGAATTCTAGTAATATATTATTAAGTACTATGTAATATGTATTAAATGATCAGCTGTCTTCAAGAAGTTCTCAAATAAAGGAGGTAAGGTAAACATAATCTGCCTAAATATTTATATAAATATCGCGGGGAATAGGTAGTTTCCTGGGTCTGTGAGTAACAGAAAGGCATAGAGAAAGCTACATGAAATATAAAGACTTTTACAGTATTTTTTAAAAGACAGATTATATATATATACACATATATTTTGGAATGTGTCAAATTTTATTTCTAGTTTTAATAAAAAGTATGTCATGTTTGTTCTGTGACTGTATGTACATTTGTTGACCATGATTTTTTTCTCAAGAATCAAAGAGTTAAGTATAGAAGATAAAAGGAAATAGTGAATTTTAGTGTGTAAGAAAGGAAAGCAAGATGCTAATATCTGAATGTTCATAATGATCAGAGGAGATATTGCAGAGAAGTGTCCAGAGCTATTAAGTGAACCACTTCTTTCTATTACTAATATTGATGAAATTTCAGTTATTGCTTGTAGGAAGCCTAAAGTGGTAGTCACTTGAGAAAACAGTTTGCGTTTTTAAAGTTAAACATATACTTACTATATGATATGACTCAGTATTCCTGTTCTGGCACTTACCCTAGAAAAATGAAAACTTATGTTCACACGAAAACTTGTATATTAATATTTATAGCATCTCTATTAATAATTGCCAATAGCTGAAAACAACCCAAATGTTCTTCAATGGATGAATGGGTAAACACTGTATGTCTGTACAATGGAAAGCTACTGTGTTATGGTGGGTGGTGGTGGTGGTGGTGGGGTGCAGCGGGAATGTGTGACTATAGTCAGAGCAGGAGGGAGCTTTTTTTTGTTGGGGAGTAATGGAACTGTTCTGTTCCCTGATTCTGGTGGTTATACAAATGTGTTAAAATTGATAGAGCTGTACACCAAAAAAAAAAAACAAACAAAAAAACCATTTTGACTATGCTAATAACATTTTTGTAATGCTGGAGATTTGAAAATTCTCTATTTGTACCTTTAGTGAAATCTGAATTTACATTGTTTTAGGTATGTGGCCCTTTAGTCATTTTCAGTGGCCCTGGGAAAAATTCGTCATTACTACCCTATAGATCTTTTGAAGGGAACTGCTTTAGGAACCTCACCTTTAGGTTCATGGACTATTGGCCCCCTCTAGTGGAATCCTTTGTTTTCAGAGTAAAGCTCGGAATGTGTGCCTGTGATTTTTGTTTTTCTTTTGTTTTTATTCATCTCATCAAATCTTAGACTCTTGTCCTTTTATAGTTGGATAAGCCTTCCTAGGCATCAACTTTTTCATCATAAAATGACAGAGATGGACTAGATCTTTAAGGACTTTTTAAATTCTAAACTCTTATGATTCCTAACATTGAGTACCTATCATGTGTTTCTCAAGCCAAGGCAGTGATGGATATAAAAAGAAAAATATAACATGATTCTTTTCCTCTCTAACTTTGCAGCCTCTTTTGAAAGAGTATACATATGTGAAAAAGATAAATAGCGGAACCAAGGCAGTATTTAATTAATTAATCAAAATTATCTGTAACAAACAATAAATTAGAAGTGCTACACTGGCAGTCCTTGGGTTGGCACATCTATTTTGTTTGACTGGCATAGTGTTTTTAGCCATTAAAATTTTTTCTATCTCATTTTTGTTTTTCAATTTTGTGTATTTTGTAAAAGGAATATTTTCATGTGGTTCAAAATTTACAAAGTACAAATGAGTATATACAAGGAGAAGTCTCCTTTCTACCTCTCCTCCCCAGCTACCCAGATCCCTTCCCCATAGGCACTTAACGTTATTAGCTTCTAACACAGTGTCTTAAAAAATTATGAACCTGAAAGTTGTTAGATGGGGCAGACCCACTCCAGTTGCCACACTTCCTGCCATTTCCCTAGATCATACCCGACTGTATCATGACATGTTGTCTGCCTGGCCAGTGCAGGAATTGTGTCTGTTGCTTACTTGGTGTGGTCTGGAGTGTTTTGAGACCTCGTGGAGGAGGAGGTGGAGGACTTCAACCTAGNAAACTAGAGTTGAAAAAAAAAGATGAAATCAGAATATTTGATTTCAGTAGAAAAGGAGGTAAAAAATAAAATTCAGAGTATGTGAAATGATATACTTGAAAGGGAAGAGTGAGAAAATGGTTATGAGAATGTCAACCTATGGTTGTTGGTGCCAATTCAACATTAACAGGAATCACCAATTTGGAGTGTGGTGAAGAAGAAAACTTTATTCAGTGCAAACAGCTTAATTATAAAGCATCATGGCTGTGAGGCGGCCCTGGGGCGAGGTAGCTGTTTCTGGCTAGACAGCTCTGCTCTGATCTGCTTGCACTGCTCTTCTCAGTTCTGGTCCTATGAGATGTCTTTAGTGTTTCACCTTTGGTGTTTCAGCTCCAGCAGGGCAAACACAACCTTCAGTGTTCAGTGGAAAGGGAAAGTGGGCTCTTAGAGCAGACTTAAATAGAGGTCCCTGTCCCTGTTTCCTGATTGGTCCAGTCCTGTTGCACATGAGGACTCCAAATCTTTGGGGTGTGATTGGTCCAAAAGGCACTGCCTTGATTGGTCAGAGTGGAGCCATTCTGATTGATCAGTGAAGATGCGGGGATAAGCTGTGCAGCTCTGATTGGATGGGGAAAGCCTCAGTTCTATTGGTTGAAGTACAATTGAAGGAACTGCTTTATAAGGGATGGCTCAGATGTTAGGAACACAGTATGTACAGGCAGGCAGTTCAGTGAGGGCTTCTTGAAGTGCGGTTTGCATGAGAGGCCCCTGTTTAGAAACAGCTGCTAGGCTCTGCTTTTAAATGTTGGCCTGGTTAACCACCAAGAGCCCTTCTTGGCACGTATCTTCTCTCTCAGGGTCCACAGACTAAGGCTGAGTTTTCAGGACCTTTAGGAAGATGGGTGGGAAGCCTAGGGTCCTAAAAAGATGTTGGGAGTAATTATGTAGGAAGAACACCATATGTGAACATTTCATTTAATCTAGGGATGAGTGATGAAGATGTGGATGTTGAGATTTTTTTTTTTAATAGGAAAATATTCTGCAGAATTTTAAAACATGCTTTCACATTAGGCACCCTCTCCTGTGTATCTCTCTTTTCCTCTCCCCATACAATGTCTTTCAGGTAATAGACAGTAAATAGTTGCTGAGTGAGGTAAAGTTATATTAACATAGGGCTCCAAGAAGTGAATCAAGCATATTAGCCTCAGTTTTACCATTATTTTTGATCATATGTTTCTCATTAATGTAAACATTTATTTTCAAATGATAGGAGAACTTGATGACAATAGCTCCAATAAATATTTATTGAATGAATAAATTCACTTTTAAAAGTTATTTTTTCATTAGAGTATAAAGCTTGTAAATATAAAAATTTCAAGACTCCATCTGTTATTAAGGCAGTTTTCAAAATAAAAAAGTTGCATTTGTCTTAAATATATCGGATATAATAACCTTTAGAAAAATCAGCTGATTACTAAATATGCCTTTCTCTTTTTTCCCTAGTGGAATGAAACAGTTGAGCTTTTTCGTGCTAGGATGCCATTGCGGAAACATCGCTGTCGTTTCAAAAGTTATGAACATTGCTTCACGGCGGCTGAAGCTGTGGATTGGCTACACGAGCTGCTGAGGTGCAGTCAAAACTTTGGCCCTGAAGTGACCCGCAAACAAACGGTGCAGCTGCTTAAAAAATTTCTGAAGAATCATGTTATTGAAGACATCAAGGGAAAGTGGGGTCAGGAAGATTTTGAAGACAATGGTCACTTGTACAGGTAACGGCAACCAGCAAACCCTCAAGGGGAGGAGTATGGAAGGATAAATGGGTCTGGTCAGAGTCTGTTGAAACTTCCTCATGTGAAGGAATTTACCTTGCTCCTTGGAGTGATGCTTCTCCTTGGGATTTGTTGAGTGGAGAAGTGAATGTATTGTTACACTGAAACTGATTTCAATGTTTCTTGGCTCATAGAGCACCCCATTGCAGTCTTTTGTTGCAGCGACTTTTCAGTAAGGAAATCTTTTCATCCTTTTGGGCACCTGGGAGAATGGCTGCAATAGCTTAGTCCTAGAGAATCTGAAAAGGGTGAAACAGTGAAACAGTAGCTTTGGGTTGGGCTGTGGTGAGCAATGAAGTGTGCATTTAGGGGGTTAGTGGCAGAGCGGGTCTGATCTTTAAGCAGAGCTCAGGGCTCATATGGAAAAGTGTACTATAATTCCCTGATGTTTCTGATTAAGCCTGCCAATGCATGTCTGCTTTTCCCCGAACATTTTTGCTCACGTTTCAGAGCTATTTTATGACTGGACACTTACTACCATATAATCTGAGGGAAATGGATATCTCTCTGCTTGTACTTCCATCCCCACTGCATGCTAGGCTGTTGTTGCAGGGATCTACCTAATATTCAGGCCTTCTCCCAAGAAGACCAAAGAGGAATGAAGTCACACAAGTTCAGAAAAGTGGAATTGTTATCTACAGAGAGGCCTACCAAAGTGCTAAGAAACAGAGGGGAATTAAAAGAAAAATGGAGAGGGGCCGGCCGAGTGGCGCGATGGTTAAGAACTCGCTTGGGATGCCAGAGGGCCCCGGTTCGGATCCCACATATGAGGGCCAGTGACACTGCCCTCTA